AAAAAAAAAAAAAAAAAAAAAAAAAAGAAAAGAAAGAAAGAAAAAAGAAAGATGAATTATAGAATTAAAGAAATCCCTTAAGGCAGGCATGTCGCATGCAGCATACTAGATACAAACACTACTTATCTATAGAATAAAATATCAGTAAAATTGCAAGCTCATCACTTGCAAACAATATCAAAAAAACCCCACTGAACACTCGTAGCATATATTGTTTAGTTGTGCGTTTTATAGTGCTCAAAAGCGCCGCCGGGTTTTTCAGTCTCGTTGAGTTAATGCTATATCGATTTTGGTTAAGACTCTATGAGTATTGCCTTACTCGAAAAGAAAACCTTCTAAAGAATTGCAGATAAATCTCTTTGAACTCTTGAAAAATGCGAAGGTAATTAATGCGAACGAATATATGACGTAACACAGAAAGCATTTAAAATCGTGCAGCAACAAATCACAGCAGTTTTGCTGGCGGTTCAAACGAACCGTAGATTTTACATTGTGTGTAGTGATGTTGGATGTTAATGGAATGATAAGAGTAGGGAAGAGATTCGAGCTTGATATACGTAACACGAAGAATACAACGCGTAGGTGGTGGGTTTTATATTAAGATCAAAGAATCCGTGTTTTCTATTTTGAGTGTAAATTATGCACAAACTAAACTGATTGTTTTGCGCAGGGTCTGTTGTGACAAGCTTACAATCTACGTAATAGCGAGGACCTTAATGTACGAAAATGCCGGACAGCGGCTGCCCAGCGCGGCTTCTTTTACAGAGCAACTAAAGGATGGAACAGTCTTGGCATTGACACTAGATCTGCCCCATCGTTAAGATCATTTAAAAGGCTTGCAAGGGAAGAAATAGGCCAGAAATAGGACAAGCTACTATAGTCAAAATAGTATTTACTTATGATTATTAGTTCCAGTAGCTGTAAATATTATATTTATTTCATTAGTTTTATTATTATTAGTTAATTGTAGTTTGTAAATTAATTCTGAAAAGCCCCACGGGGAGAATTGATAATAAAAGTATTGCAGTATTGTAGTACATTGTAGGGAGGAATGGGAAAGAATAATACAAAGCCTTGCACTTTCAAAACGCGAAATCAAGGCAAAAACCGAACTAGAATTGCTGGTTTGCAATCATTCCCAAGAGAATGAAATAACAAGACACGGCGGCCATGTTGGTTGATATAACAAAAGAGACTAATGAAGAATCTTTTGTTCAATAAATCCAACATGGCGGCTATTAAAACCATCAATTATATTCCTTATAGAAAAATCTACCACAAGTATATTAAATTCAGAGTTAAATAAAACTCTTCAACGACTAAGCGTCTTCCAGAAGACATAGATAACTAAAAAAGACACTTAAAAAACAACAGGAAAGCACTTCTTTACGGTTTTTTAATTCCGTCACACAGCGGAGATCTCTCCTGACAAGCTTTTACAGAACCAACCATGAGACAATATTGACACGGAGTTTTCACACAACACAATTAATTTAAAAGAAGACTTAATCAAACCACCATGGGTTTAAAATCATTTGACTCACGGTAATGAGAAATGAGGCGAGGAAGGGTAAGACAAGATAGTCAAGAGCCAGTGGTGCAATTGTACAGCAGTAATAGTTTGAGTTCATCAGCGGTATTTCAGCTCTCTTTATTTGGTTATATCAACCGAGGGGGGTAGGGTGGAGAGATAGAGATAAGTTAAAACAGCAAGTGCTGTACAGCGGTATTTCAGCCCTGTTCATGCGTTTTTACTACTGAGGGAAAAATACCCTTACATTACAAACTTACGAAACTCAACTTAATTAGATCAAATTTTTAGAAATTTAAATTATAGTCTTAGTTTATTTTACAGCTTTCTATTCATTAAGTTTTTAGTTTTTTTAAAACTATTGCTTGAAATAAATCATTAGTCTATTCTCAAAAAAATATTTAAAATATTGAGTTAAGTTTTTTTTTGCAGTAAAACGTATTAACTTTTCTATTGTTAAACACAACTGCATTTTTGTCCTTTATATATATGCTTCTTATTACGTCTTTGCCAAATGAAAATTTGTTTAGATTTTGGAATCGATGTTCAATCGGAAACTTTACGTTAGAAAACTTTACCGAGCTAATTACGAGAGCTTACGAGTTTCTCCCGATTCCTTCTCATTGGGCGATTCGCGAAATATTCGAATGCGGAAATACGAACAAACAAATAAGTTTACACAAATAACAAACACTGAATAATAAACAAACACTGAATAAATAGACAGAAACAATAGCCCGGTACGTTTTGTTTTTCCCCAGTATTATGAATTTCTCTCTACCTTCGTTACTAGGACTGCAAAATACTCATAAGATATTTGCCCTTTCAGCCTTGCTTTAAAATTAGCAAAAAAGATTGGAATTGATACTTGCAATACCAAATTGTATGACATTAGGAGTTGACTTTGATACCCAACTGATGTTGTGATTTTTTCGCCAATCTTTGAGCTTCTCTTTCTTCTTTCTTCCGCTGTTGTTCCAGTGCTCGTCGCTCCCTCTCAGCGTATCTCTTTTCTCTTAGCACATTTTCAGTTTCCCATTCAATTTCCTTCTCGTCTATTTCGTCTCCATCCCATCCTTCATTGGTGTCCTCCCAAGTGCCCAAGTCAGTCTAGAGAACGATTATCATATCAGGTTAAGGGGGTTTGTAAGACAGTTTTTTCATTGCAAAAAAATGACACTAGTGGAATTTCAATGACACCTGCAACTCTGTAATACATGAACGAAAAGTTTTTCCTTTTTCTTCCTTCCGGTTTTTCTTTTCTTTCCTTCTCTTTATTTCCCTTCCCTTTTGGTTCCTTTCCTTTCCATTTCATTCCTTCCTTTCCTTTCCCTTTGCTTCCATTCCATTCCATTCTTTTCCTTTCCTTTCCTTTCCATTCCATTCCTTTCCTTCCCATTCTTTCTATTTCGTTTTTTGAAGGTAGCTGTTCCTAAATTTTCTTTTCTAAGAAAACAGCACATGTGAAGACTTTTAACTATACACCAAAGTCCAAGATGGTGGCCGACAGAGAGAGACTAGGGAGAGTAGCATGAAAACGAGGCATTCAGGACCAGACACACAATCTCTCCTTTGTTTCCTTACTATTATACTACATGATTGTGTTTTCCTGAATGTAAGAAGAAAAGAAGGACCGAACACATGTATAGTTTGTTAAGACACCATGTTATTGCTTAAGTTGAATTTGGCCCTGGATGCCTTGATTTCATGTTTTCCTAAGCCCAGGTTTCCCTAGCTGCGTGCCACTTTGGTATGGTAGCATGAATCATTAAAAAAAAAATTATGCTATGGGTTACCTGTGCCGGTGGATAGGACATATCAAAATTTAGTCTGCTTGGAGAATTACTGGCATATTGGTTGGAGTTAGATGACTTCTGTTTAAGTACTATCTGTAAATCACACAGGAAACAGTATTTGGTTAAATTGTTTTGGGTGTGATTGTGTTTTCATAAAGAAACAAAGAACTGTGGTGACACAAATGCAGAAATGAAAAGCCACTTTGCTTGATGTAAGCATTGATAAAATGGGAAGTCTTTAGGGGGAGGGGAGGGGTTGGAGTGTCCTAAGGACTTACAGTATCAGGAGAAGTGAAATGAGTGGGAGTCTACAGAACTAGGATCGAGGTAAAGGTATAGCAGAAGTAGCATTCCAGGTCTTGCCCACTGTTTTCCCCTTACTTCCCACCTATCCAACAATAGGGGAAAGGCAAAAAATGTACAACTTGTCCATACTCCCCAATCAAAACTTGACTCCTTTGCAGACATTATAAGTGTTGGTTCCAATCCCTCCTCAGCTCCAGTATGGTCTGGGACTGACACTTGGCTGTAATAGAGATTAATGCCTAAACCGACTGACACTATATTAATATAGAATACTAACCTTTTTGGGTTTTTTAAATACAGGAGTCATATCTTTAAACAAGTCATCTGCATCCATGCTACCTTCATTTTCAGCTGGCTGACTTGAGAGGGGAGGGGTGGTTGGTTCTATTTTGATACTAAAGTGGTCATCACTACCCCATTCTGTCCAACTAGCATCTTGATTGGATGCAATCTGTAAAATAGTTTTTATATTTGAACTGGCTAACAACTAGCTACAGTGTATATTGCTTTCGCTGTTAAAATGAGGATGGCATAATGGTAGCTAGTGTAGTTACCTCTCACCTCTGAGGTTTCAGGTCTCAGGTCCTGCATTAAAAAAAAAAAAAAAATTCCAACTTGATCTGTGAGTTAGCCATGCCATGGCTTTGATTAGCCCAGAGGTTGTTTCAGGGTTCAATCTGTCAGTTAGCTGTGCCATGGCTTTGATCAGCCCAGAGGTTGTTTCAGGTTTCACTCTGTCAGTTAGCTTTACCCTGACTTTGATCAGTCCAGAGGTTGTATAAGGATATCGATAAAATTTGAAGGCTTTTAAAAGATTTGGAGGTTTCCATGTTTTCACTATAATTACGATCACAATTTACGAAGTGACCCCCTTAGCACAGGACAACAAAACAACTCTCCTCACATACAACACCGAGTCCAGGAATCGACCCAGGTGAGAACTCTGACCTCTATGTCAACCGTGCTTCTTATCAAAACGATCTGTAAGTTCAATCTTGCCCTAACCTTGATAAGCACAGAGGTTGTTTCACGGTTTGATAAATTCATTCAAAAGATTTTTTAGGAAAATTCTGAGGTAATCTAGTGGCAATATAAAACACATTTATTCCTGCAGAACCATGAAATATAACTAAACCCAAGTTAACCTAGTTAATAAGTAATTACACTTTTAAAATAAACTTCAAAATGTAAGAAAACTAAACTAACTGGACTTTGATGAAAATATGAAGCTGGTCAACTCGGTAAGCTTATAGTTTCCTTCATAATCGCTCTTTTTTTAAACAAAATAGCAAGAAAAGTCCTTGAATATAAGGTACCCTTAAAATGATCTTAAAGAGTTAAATAGCATAATTAATTTTTTTGTTTTTATACCTGATTTTGCTGCGAGTCGTTTGTTCCTGTACTGACTGGCAGAGGATTCGATGGCTCACTGTCCTTTCGTCGCCTTCCTCGACAAAATATCTTCTTAATAATGCCAAAAATAAAAGAAAAACACGAAATGATCCTCGAGAAATTAAGCCAGATGGTTTTCATCACGATCTAGTAAGGACTATGCTATATTCTATGAACAACATGAGGTGAATCATCTATCCATTGATTGCCGCCATCTTGCTTTGCAGGAAACAAAACACAGGGAGCCCGTAAGCGAAAGTTGTATGGATTTTACTGTGCTTGGGATTCCTGTGGTAACACAGGCGCGATTGTGGTTCTTGGTAAGGGTTGTAGGAGAGGGTAAAGTCGGAATTACTGAATGAATTGTTAAAAACCAGAAGCACTTAACTTGGCCATAGCCAGCCTGCGGAGATGAGAGATGATTGAAGTGTCAAATGGTGATTTAATGACGCGAATACTACAATGAAATGGAGGGTTGGAGGATTTTTGTTGCAAGATCATAAAGACTAACTGATCCCCCCAAAGGACCACGTACAAGTTGCTTTCGACAGAMTCAACTTTGATATACATGGTTTATTATTTTTTACCTAAAGTTTTGCATTATAGTCGCACAAACTACATTCTATAGATTGATGGGGTTTCAGAAGTTTGGTATGCGTGTTTATGTGTGCATGGTGGGAAGACGGGAGGGGGTTGGGGAGACTCTAGATCTGCGTCTAAAATTAGTCGCAAATATTTCGTTCGACTGCATAATATTCACTTCACCATAAAACGAAGCAGCCAAGTTTATAAAGACCCGTCTATACACCAGCGAATTTTCCAGCGATCTTTGCAGCGCGGATTTTTGCAGCGAATTGAGTTGTGATTTTTCGTGGCGATTTTGGTCATATTCAAAAATGCTAAAGGATTCAGGTTACGATTTTCATTCCATCGTGATTGAAAGACTCATACCATCTGTAACAAAGAGGATGCTAGAGGAAACCGCGTTGGGGATCTATACAATCGTAATTACCCAAGTTTTACGAAAAATACAAAGCAGCACGCCCCTTTTCCCTTTGATCATATCACAGATAAAGTGCCCCTTACTTTGGATTTATCTGTTGTCCTCTCCTCTCCTTTCCATCCTCCTAATCATCGATTTATTATTTAATTCTGTACTCATGCGCACCCATTTCCTCCCCTCCCCTCCCCTCCCCTCCCCTCCCATCTCTAAAAAAACCGCACTAGTGCAGTACGTATGGATTTTACTATTATAAATACCGCCACTCAATATTATAGAATCCTAATTAAACAACTGAAAGAACATGGATATATTATTACTCAGTCCAACAGTCTGCCGAGCACTAACAGGAACAAAAACCAATACATTAAGCGAAGTGCAATAAAAATATTTGTAAATATTTAAAGCCATTTACACTAGGAGTTGGTCAGGTAAAATCCGAGTTGACCCCGGATGTCAATCACAAACAGCAGCTGTTTTTAGATCATCTATTGAATTTATGAATTAAGAATATTAAATGATGTGTATTAAAGATTAATGGGGAATTGACTTCAAATAAGACGTGTTTACGCCTGACTTATTAATCTTGGATAATTAATAGCAGGACATGAATTTCTTTCTGCAAATGTGTTCATTGTGTGGGATGAGAAAAAATTMATTTTCTGGTCAATTATTTTATATTTTTTACTCTTATTAGACTATTTTTTTCGAGCTTGGAATTTGAGAGAAAATCAGCTCCGTATACTTTTATTAAAATACATTATTTTTTTAGCAGTCAACCTCGTCTGTTTCAGTTCTCGTTCTTACACTTTTTGGCTGAAACTACATCATAATAATTGAATGAATATTAATTTGTTATATTAATACCAATCGTTAAACACTAAAATAGAAATCACAGGAAGGTTTTTACTTTCGATTCCTTTATTTACTTACAATCTATTTTTGTTATCAAAGAGCTGTTTCGTATGGTTTGGTTTGTGTATTTTTATGGGATTTAATCGAAAGTTTGGACGGATTTAGTTCAGAAGCCATCTCTCGAAAAGCGTTTCGATAGTTTGAACTCTGAAAAGCATATACAATAGGGTTTGTAGCACACGGAATATATAATAAAAGAAAAGATATTTCACTAAGCAAGGGAATAGAATATACAAGTTTTAGGAACTGAACGACTGCAAATATTCCATAACAGAGAGAAAAAATAATCGTCAAAGCGACTAGAGTGCAAATAACCTTTCGCTTCGACTTGTAATCAACTCTTTTATCCGAATCATGAAGGTTTCTTTTCTGCCTTCTGTTTAACTCCCTGATAATGCTAAAGTAACAATAACAGATAACTGAAAGTGGGATGCAAAATAAACAGATAAATAAAAACAGGTAGTATACGAGAAATTGTTTTGCTGTCCAATCTAGCTCGCATATATAATCCTCCGTGTTGTAATAAGAGAATATAAAAACTGGAAGTGAGCAGATCAGAGCTACAATCCATATTGGAATGATGACAAATATGATGKTGTTTTTCCTTAGACGACGTTGACGATTGAAGGGTTTGACCAGAGCATGATATCTCTCTAAAGAAATCAATGTCATAAGTAATATAGACACAGTCAATGTGATTACCACTAAACTACCAATCGATAAAAACCGGCATAAATACGAGCCTAGGACCCCTTTTGGGTGGCTTTCAAGTCGTGAAAGAACTTCAATGGGCACACTCCATAGTAGAGTCAATAAATCAGCCAAACTTAGATTCGCGAGGAGTATATTCGTGGTTGACTGCATTGAGCGTTTATTCTTGACTACACTGATAACCAACGTGTTTCCTATTACTCCTATTGTGGTTATTAGACCATAAAGTACCGGATATAAGATATTCATCATCACAGAAAGTCTTTCTTCCACTCCCTTTGTAGAAGAGAGGTTTCCAATCGACGTCACGTTTCTACCCATCAAAGAAACTGAGAAGCTTTTGGACTCAATGTCTTGGAAAATCCTGCAAAAAGTCTCAGCTCTTGTGAAGTAAATCTGGACGACTAAACTGCTAGAGGATTTGTCTTCTGTCTTTGGTTGGTTTGTTTTTCGAGAAAGCTTGTCAGCGGCTTATGTCCAGCGTTGTTTGGCTTGTTCTTATGGCGAAATTGAAAGAGAGTCAGCTAAAGGATAATGTAGTATGCCAGCGAACTCAGTTGGCCAACTTAATTTTTTTTTAAAAATCTTAATTTTTGTGATAGTTATGTCGCATTATCTCATCTTTCTTTCTTTTTTCTTAGCTTCTGGTTACTAAATAAATACTAAAAAATCTGCCACTCAATCATGCTTGCAGTACGCTGCTCTCGACCAATCACATCTCAGAAAAAAATCCCTCTCTCAACATTTGCTCATTCATATTTAGCGCGTTCAATAAAAAGAAAGTATTAAGTCTAACCCCTGGAAACCACCTGCTGAAATACTTTTTCGTGATATCCAATATCAAAATTTATAACTCTGCATTATTTATATAAAACGTTTGTGTTTAATCGAACATTATTTACATATACTGAAAGCCTTAAGATCAGTACAAACACCATACGGAATAGGATGAATTGAAAATGCATAAAAAATATTCCCCATTGATGCACCCAAAGTAGCATTCTGTCATTTTCAAACGTTTGCATCGTTACATAGATAGAGTCGTAATCCCTCTTAATGCAAAAAGATCGTCCGTTTTATTCACGAACCATTGAAGAGGAAAGACCGACTTATAACATTAAGTTCGTAGTGTTTGTTAGTTAAGTAAAAGATATGGTGTCAGATGTAAGGGCCGCGCGGCAAAGTATAATGACTAACTATGTCATTTACTAGAAATCCATTTTTCTTCTTTATCATCATCTGATTTATTGATAATCCAATAGGTTGTCAAGGAAACGGAAGGAGAGGCGCGTAATGCGTTCTGGAAAGTAAATAGTGAAATGCCTCCAACGACGATTTCATGGTTCTCATTCCACTTATAGTTCGCAAAGATTACTAATTTACTAATTTTTTTTTTTTTTTTAATATTTCAAGTAATAACCTGCTATTGTTTTAGCTTTTTAAACATCTTTACAGCTACCCTGACACATAAATGGTTCCCTATGACTTTAATGGCTTCCCTGCACTTTGATGGTTCCCCAAAAATGTGATAATGGCTTCCCAGCACTTCGAGGGCTTGCCAATTTGACAGCACATTAATGGCTTTAATTTCGAACTCTTTGATGCCTTCAAGCACGATGGTTTCAACACCTTGATAATTTCTTCGCACTTTGATTGCTTTCCAATACATTGATGCCTTTCCTATGACTTCTATGGCTTCCTCGAGATATGTTACAGCTAATGGCTTCCCATCACTTTAAAGGCTTTCCCAACACTTTGATTGCTTCCCAACACCGAGACATTCTAAGGGAAAACAATTTTGTAAGTGTGCGTGCCTGCTATGGGTATTCGTCAGTTGGATTAGTGATTTTTAGACATTCAGGTGTACATAATATACATGTTGAGTACTGGAGATTTAAATCTTTCGTGATATGTAAATAATTGCCACTTGACAAATTGCTATAAGGTACAATAAACCGAAAGACCATCTGTTCAAAAAAATCAAACTAAGACCGAAAGGAAATATGATATTCAAACTAAAATAGGGAAAGCATCAGCGGGTAGCGATTGAAAAACAGGAGGGAAGAAAGAAAGCCGAAAGAAAACCAACTCGCATGATAATAATATTATTTTATCTATTTATTAATTAATACAGAATGATTATTGCTACCTTTCAGGCTATAGAAACAAAGTATACGACGTTTTCTTATTAAATTAAATCCTACAATTTTTTTTTTCAGAGTTGAGTTGCATCGAATTAAAAGCCGGAATATACATACGACTGGACAACTAATATATGACAAATGATGTTTGATTGGAAAACAGTGATCTTTTGCGCTGGCGGGCTGGTTGAAAAGTTCAAAGGACGTCATTAATGTCATACCGTGCACGAGCAATGTGCCATGTTGTTATTAGAGGGATTGGCATGTTAAATTATTTCCATGTTTTTCGGCGTCTACATCGCATCATTAAAGTTTTAGTTCGCTTTAAGTGTTGCTATGGCGATAAAACAGAAACACCGATTGCTATAGTGATCTATAGATCTATTGAACCATCACTGATATCTAAAACGTTGGCCATAGTGATAAGAATAGGAAAAGCGGAAATAAACTCGAGAATCATGCACTTACTACTACTGCGCATGCTCAAAAGTTCTCCTTGTTGTACAGGAATTTTACTCCAGAGGTGATGTCGCTGTGTGAGTTGGCCATCTTGTGTAGGGTATGGGACAAGCCAGCAGGACCACAGAAAAATACACCCACATTTGTTCTAGGATAAATGAAAAATCTTATTTCAATTTCACCATCACCATTATCACCATCACCATTATCACCATCACCATTATCACCATCACCATTATCACCATCACCATTATC